TCCCTTGATTACTGTTGGAATGATGCTGGCAGTGGCAGACACAGCCGGGTACCTCTCTTGAGTGGTGTCCAGAGAGACGAGCCACGGTCAATAGCTCTCAAGCCTCCAGACCGTGCCAAGGGAGATGTTTGGACCCTTCCGTGGAGCGAGGAGAACAGGGCAGTGTCGTGTGGTTCGATGTATTTTAGATCCAAGGCAAAGCCGGACACTTCAGGGCTACGTAACCACTTTCTTATTTATTGCAAGCTTTAAGCAGTTAATACAGTTGTTTAAGTTTACAAGCCTCAACAGCAATGCCTATACTTTAAACCTTACCTTCTAAAGCAATTCACACAGCGCAAAGCAATGCAAAAGCAATTACTAAATGATCTACTATAGACAATAATAAAGCCTGGTTCACTTACACTTCACCCATATGCTACCTACAGTGCCAGGCAGGAGGTCGTGGCTCCGTCTTTTCCCACCCATAGGATCCCCACTACTGATGTAGCCGGTGTGAAGGGCCTAATCACTTCTAGTTACATCAGTGGTTCCCAAACTGGAGGGGGGGTGAAGAAATTCCTGGGGGGGGCTGAGGCAACCCAGCCCCCCCGCCCCCATATCAAGTTTTTCTGCCCCAGAATTTTTTTTTGTTTTTTGCTCAACAAGTTTTGCTATTGGGGGGGGGGTGGCGTGAGGGTTTTTCAAAAATCAAAAAGGGGGCTTGATGCCAAAAGGTTCGGGAACCAGTGAGTTACATCGACTCATTCCTGTCCGTTCCCTCCCAGCAACTGTTCTTACTAAACCCAATTTATAGCAAAGTGAGACTTGGTTGTTCTACTAATATTTTCCAACTGATTTCGTATTGTGTAGGATAGATACATCAAATGCCCCATGCTCCTATTTGGGGTACATCCTGTGCGCAGTTGACAGTTTCATGGCTGCATCGGTACTTTTTGCTTATCAGAAACAAGTACCAGCACAAAGCTGCTTGTTCTGTGTGTTCTTGACTGGTCTCAGGTACCATGTTTAATCTGCATTGTTATGCAGAACAATTCCTGACTCTCACAGCTTTCTTTCTTAACCCCAGCCATGCCTGTGTGCTTTATTACACCAGACTTGAGACAGGCCAGAAATCCACGCTTTGGACAAGGCAGACGTCACCAGTTATTGCCAAAGCAGGCTCCCCGACAGGCAGAAATGGCCACACCCCCGCATGACGTAGCCAAGTCGGCCGAACTTTTTAGCATCGACCTGGCGTTGGGCACTTTTGAAAATTGTACCTCAAGTGATTTCGGGGCATAAGGCACGTTCTTTTCAGCAGCCCCAGGCTCCTAGAAGATGAACGGAGCTTGGATGCTTTGGACAACGTTGCCCTCAGTAGCCTAAGTCCTGTAGACTTCCAGCAAGATCTAGGCCCCTAAATGGGTGGGCCCCTAAATTTTAAAATGAGACGGAGGCAGGTCAGAAAATTGCAGTTTTATCTGGTACGAGACGATTTACCCCAGCCGTGCTCGGGTCTTTAACTCCGAGAAGTTTTGTTTTTCTTCATTGAAATCATTGTTCTGGGGTGGAGTACAGGACGCAGGCTGCCCCAGGTAATGAAGACAACCTCATCTCTCTCTCACCGCAGCAGCTTGGGGTCAGGTGAGACGCACCTGTCTGGCTGCACAGCCGGGGGAGGGGTGCATGTGTGACAGACAGACGCACACAGACAAACAGACACAAAAGCAGACACACTCTCTGAAATATATAGGAGAGAGCTCTCCCGTTCTCCACCCCTGCCCTCTGCTGACCCCATGGGGTTACAGCTGTCCCAGTCCCCATCTCTTGGCCCCATGCTGCCCCCTTGTGATCATTCTGCAGCATAACTCCCTCCTACCAGACCCCTCCCTTTCCATTTCTTAAGAAACAGTCAGATTCCAGGCACATCCTATTTCCCTGGCACAACCAAACCCTGGCCTTGCTTTACGCTGGGAGAAGAGGAAGCTGCCTGCCGAATTTGGTGGTCCTCGCTCTTACCGTTTAGGGCGTTCTTGAGCAAACGGACTCAGGGACGGACCGACAGACAGACGCACAGTTCTAAATGATACAGTAAGATTTTACACCACCTACACGTTTCCATAGGTCATATGTTTTGGGGGCAGAGGCTGTCTCTTCGCTGCCTGGCTGTTTAGTATCCAGCACGGCTGCTCCCTGATCAGGCCTCTGTGGTACGACAGAAATACAGATAAATAACGTTGTTTCCATGCGAACCCTCTACCCCAAACGGCTTTATGGGATTCATGGGACACAATCGGTCTGTCGCCACTTTTGCAGCCTGTGTTTACTGTGCAGCCTAGGAAATAAAAACCTAGAGGCAACTCGACGGTGAGGTCTCTGCCGTATAACGCGCTCGTGGTTTGTGGTTACCATCGGCATTTTCATGCTGAACGCTGTATAGCTGTTTCGGCACATGCTGTTAGGCATGACACACTCTGCCACAGCGGCTGCCCCACTTATTCGACCCGTCACTCGCAGAGGAAATTAAAAAAACAAACCAACAAAAAAAAGCACAGAATCCTAGGGAGGGCAGAGATCTCAGGAGGCGTCACGTTCAGCCCCCGGCCCAAAGCAGGATCAACCCAACTCAATCAACCCAGCCAGGGCTTGGTCAAACCAAGACTTAAACATCTCTAGGGATGGAGATTCCACCCTCTTCCTAGGGAACCCATCCCAGCGCTTCCCCACCCTCCTAGGGAAATCATTTTTCCTAAATTCAAGTAAAATCCAGAGCGGTGGCAGCAAAGGAGGATGGGATTCAGAACTAAGGGGTCCTGTGTGTAGGAACGTGGCAGACCGAGGGACAGTCACCCGCCAGCACAAGGCAGCTGCGTCTTTGACGTCCTGCTCCCTGCTGTGCCTGGAGGCAGGTTTTTCTGCACCACTCAAGCCTAGGAGGAGGGAGGCGATGCTTTCTGCTGTGTTGCCTTCCACTGGACTCTCTCCAATGCGTCCACATCCTTTCGGAAACAGGGGGCCCAGAACTGGACACAGTACTCCAGATGTGGCCTCACCAAGGGGGATAATCACTTCCCTCGATCTGCTGGCAACGCTCCTCTTAACGCACCCCAATCTGCCGTTCGCCTGCTTGGCTACAAACAAAGCTGAAGTGACATGTGGTCTCTCTGGGTGTTCTGCTTTTCCTTGCAGCTGGTGACACCAGCCCGGCCCCAGTGGCTCCCCCCTCCTCCCCGCCTTGGTTTCCCCAAAGTCATTTTTCACCCCAACACAATCCTCACTCGAACCCCTGCCTGCAAAAGACAACCCATTGTGTTCCCCACGGTAGAGTTCGATAAGGCAGGAGGTTTTCCCTCCTTTTACAACCCCTTTTCCAGAGGCAGGCCAGATGGACTGTTTCCCGATCCTTGCTTCCTCTGAATTCATTCAAATCGTGGTTATTGTTAGGTGCAGTGGATGAAGGGTTGGGCCCGTTGTGGGGAAGAGTTTTGCATGTCAAAGGACATGGAAAGCAGGAAGGGACGTGGACCATGAACCCCTGACTCTGCCGTTCTGCTGGGCACACGCTATGTAGAAACTGGTTGCTACCAAGCTGGTTTTGAGTAAGTTCCTGTTGGCGCCGCGAGTGTTGCACAGGGCTTCGCAGTTCCCCATTTTCTTCCCATTTCCCATTTCAGATCTGTCTGTCTGTTTGTGGCTGTTGAAAAAACCCAACCCGCTTGTCAGTGCGTCCAGAGAGGACACCCAGCGGTTCGATCCTAAATGTGTAGCTGGGGAGGGTTTATCTGTGTCCTTCTTCGTGCTCTGGAAAGATTTCTCTCCCTAATGCGGAGCAGAGAATTACAACCCCCCACCACCTGGCAACGCGTTCTGGCTTTGGCTGGAGAACTAGCTCCTTGGATCGGATACTTCAGGTGCTTAATTTCAAGTCTGTTTTCAGCCGTGTCTTATAGATCCAAGGAAAGTATCCAGCACAGAGCCTTACAGAGCCTCAGAATGAAAGCGCAGAACTGTCCCGGTCCCCGTCTCTGGCCGGAGAAGGCGACCAGGACAGTTGCTGCCCCCTGTGGGCATTCTGCGGTATTACTGTCCCTCTGACCAGACACCTTCCTTTCCATTTCTTGAAATTGTCCCCAGTACAAACTGGCTGAGAATGACAGCCCTAGCCAGAGGGTAATTGCTATATCCCACGAGCTCTCAAACTTCCTTGCTCTGCAGCCCACTTCTGACCAAAAAAATTACTACACAACCCCAGGAGGGGAGGGACCAAAGCTGAGCCTGTCTGAGCCCCACCACCTCAAGAGGGGGGGAACAAAGCAAGGTGGCAAGGTGCTAGGATCGCACAGGGTTGGTTTGGAACATCTGGCGATGTTTTCAATGTGGCCCCTTCCCCTCTCTCCCGTTCGGATGGGCGTTTGCCCACATTTGCTTCACATTTCTACTCGGCTTTTGTGATTTAGCCTTCACCCATGAAATAACGGGAGGGTTTGAGTCAATTGACCTCGTCTTGACAGGAAGGCTGAGTAACAAAAAAATACCTCACGAGAACAAACACGGGGGCGGCCAAAATGCCAGGTCACGTATGTGCAGCAGCACGGCAGACAGGACTAAACCCAGGGGAGGGGGCGGAGGAAGCGTTGGCGTTGGTTTCTAAGAATGCCAAAAATGTTCAAAACCACAAACCAGGGGAGTTCCATTTTTTGGCCACATCAAGCAGGGTATTTAAAACCAAACTAAGCGCGATTCCAAACCGGGCAAACGGTTTCTGCCGCCGCCGTGCCTTTCTGGCAGTGCTCTGTCTTCGCGAGAGCCCAGCTCCTCCTAAGGCTGTCATGGGGGCAAGTCGGGCGCCTGCTTCTAGGCACGTGCCGCCCCTAGCCAGAGCTGCTCCTAGCCCCGGAGCCTGCCCCTGCTGCAAAGGGAGCGTTAGATTCTGCCGGTCTGGCTTGCCACACACACGAGCGCCACCGTGTATCCAAGCTGTGCTTTAGAGGCAAACAGAGCTATTTTTAATTATTGGCATGCCAGCAGAGCTTAGCGAGTCAGAGATCAGCACCCCAATGTGTTGGCTGTTCATAGAAGAGACAGTCCTCAGCCTAAAGACCTTACCTTCTATAATAGATGAGGCAGAGAAGGAGTGGGAGAAAGGAGGTAGTGTTAGTCAATGCTCCCTCTATTTTTTTTGGTCCACGTGTGGAATAAATTTTGTTATGTGCACCAAGGATGTGCACCACCTGTAGAAACACAAGTTGCCGGCCGTGGGTGCTCTGCTAATCAGGTAAGTGGCATTTGAGTCTCTGCGCTTCACTTACAGGGAACGCCGGTGTTATCCCCATTTTACACATGGAGCCCTGAGGCACAGGTACAATAAGTGGCTTCTCCAAGGACCTCTACACAGAGCTGGGCAATGAACCTGAACCTGATTTCTAGTCCAGTGCCTTAATGCCCAAACCAGCCGTTCTCTCCGTTCGCATGAGGAGGTGCAGAACGGTGGACTCGCAGCTGGGGCGCCCCGCGTGGCTGGGCGCAGTCTCCTCTCTAGAGTCCCTTGCTGACGGCTGCTGCGGCAGATGCCTTGTCTCGTGTCTCAGCCTGCCAGCCCAGCAGTTACTCCTGCCGCTCCCTGGGCAGCCGAAAGCCCAACAAGAACAAGCCTCCGGTCCCTCCGTTTGGGCCGCCATCTTGTTTCTGGGCCCAGTGAGCCATGTGGGGCTTCCAGGAGCCCATATCACCTCCTCAGGGACTTGCCGCCTCCTTGGCAACGCCTGACGGCCTGCCCTCGGCCCCCGCCCGGACAGGCAGTCGGATGACTCTGCACGTCTCCTTGGTGGCACCTCCCTGGGTGTCTTCCTACCAACCAAGCCTTTTCCTGGCCTTTCTCCTCATCCGGAAAGAGCCTTCCTCTTATGGGGCCCTTCTCTCAGGGCTGGGACTGGCCCTGGAATCCCTCAACAAAACCCCAGCACCCTCGACCAGCTTCTGCCCTCCTCCGTCTTCACCCTTCTGTCTCGCGACTCCTCAGCCCCGTTCCTCAGATGGACGCTCTCTCTGGACGTCCGCATCCTCCACTCGTGTCAGGGTTCCTGACGCTGGAGCTGCTCCCTCTACCCCGTGTCTGCTCTGCGTGTCTCCTAGCGTCCATGCTGGACCCCTCTATCCAGGAGAGCGTCTCAGGTCCAGCCCTTCCCCTGGGCTTTCTCCTCCGCTCGCCCCTCACTCATCCCGGAGAGTGACTGTCCCCATCTCTGCTCCAAGCTTCCGTGCCTTTCTAGTAACCACCCAGCTCCTCTCCATCCTTCACTGGGCCTGGCCCACCCTCCAGGTGCAGCCAGCTGTGCTAACTGGCCTCTCGGATCCACGGAAACAAAGCCGGGAAGGGGAGGGGCTATTTCCCATCATGCTACCCGGGAATGTGCGGTGCTGGGATGTGCTTGGAGTCGTCCGAAACGGTTTTACTGGCCACAGGTTTGTTCCGAAATCACAAATACCTCAGGGAGATATCCAGTCCCCAGCCAGGAATGTCCCCCCTTTCCATATTCCTAGGGCGCCTGTGCCTGACGTGCTCTTCGATTCCCTCCCGCCCTTCGGTCTGTGCATTTGGAGTCTGAAAATAGCCCTTCGTTGGCTCCTCTTTTGCCAGCAAGGAAGTCCCCTCGTAATCCGAGCTGTGTGACAGGAGGGCACGTGGCTAGGGGCCATATGGCGCTGGGGGGGGGCGGAGCCGGTGGCGAGCCGTATTTCTTCTCCGCAGATCGACTCCTACGACGTGACGGTGGCAGAAGACCTGGGAGAGATCCAGCTGCTGAAAATCGAGAAGCGAAAGTACTGGGTGCACGATGACTGGTACCTCAAGTACATCACCGTGAAGACGCCCGTCGGGGACTACCTGGAATTCCCGTGTTACCGCTGGATTACGGGAGAGAAAGAGATCGTCCTGCGAGACGGCAGAGGTGAGCCCGAGAGAGCGACTCGCCCCTCGGCAGAATTTCCATTTCACTGCTTGTGGAGCGGCTTGACCTCTGCCCCCCACTGATTACGGGGGATCCATGCCCCTTGAGCCCCCCAGTGCATGCCCCTAAGATAGCAATGAGCAGTGTCCCCCCCCACACACACACACTTTCTCCTCCCAGAGGCAGCCAAGCCCCTCATAGAATAGAATCCTAGAATCCCAGACCTCCCCAGCTGCCGGCCTGACACTGTGGGGCCAATGCTCCTGGCTGCTCTGACCTCCGGGCCGGTTTATGAGCTGGTTACTGGCTCTGACACAGGGAGAGATGTGGGGTTCCTTTGAGGCGAGGACCCCAATAGCCAGCGGGGCTGGCTCGCACACTGGGCTAGGCTAACTTGCAGGCTGGCCTCCAGGTGCGATTTCCAGCGGATGCACTTCTCCGTCGCGGGAAGCCCTGGCTAGTCCTCGGACGAGCATCCGCTGGCTGCCTGAGAACCGAGCCGCCTTCCAAGTGCTCTCTCCCTGGAAACCGTCCCGTTGTCTACGGCGTGCTCCGAAACAGGCCAGGGTCCAGCCTGCAAGGAAATTGCAGCCCTCGGAGCAGGAGGGCTGCTGGGACGTAGACGTCCGCCGCCTGTTTCGTCCGGCGGGGGCCAGGAGGAGCAGGCGGATGGGGTGCAATGTGCTGGCGGTAGCGGTTGGTGCTGAGCTGAGAAAAGCATGGGGGCTGCTCTGCGTTTTCACTGTCGCGGCTACCCTCTGCCGATCCAGTTCCCTGGCCCAAGACAGGCGCTTCCTGCATGGGGTACGGGACTTGCAGCTCTGCCTCGTGCACCTTGGCTGGGCGTTATGCTCTAGTGGGCCCCACGGAAAAGGCTGACCTGGCGCCCGCAGATGTGGGGGGCGGGCGGGTTTAACCAAGCTTGCCGCATTCGGGTCACCAGCTGCCTACGGAGTTTGCTTGGCAGGGTTTTAGGGCCCTTAATAGTTGTGGTGGCAACTCCGGGAGCATCTGGCTTCCTCCCGGACTGCCACACCCTGCGTGTGGGATATTCAGGGGCACAGGCGAGGGAATCCCCACCGCTTGCCTGGGCCGTATGTCAGCCCTGGCTTTCAAGAAAGGAAGGCGGTGAGTGGCGTTCAGCTGGCGAAGGACAAAGGAACGTTACCCAGCTCCTGCTAGGAGCTGACTCCATCCTGCCAGCCAAGCCCCGAGGTTGTGTCTAGACTGGCCAGTTTTTGCACAAAATCAGCTGCTTTTGCGGAAAAACTTGCCAGCTGTCTACACTGGCCGCTTGAATTTCTGCAAGAACACTGACGAACTCAAGTAAGAAATCAGGGCTTCTTGCGGAAATACTATGCTGCTCCCGTTCCGGCAAAAGCCCTGTTGCGCAAATCATTTGCGCAAGAGGGCCAGTGTAGACAGCACGGTACTGTTTTGCGCAAAAAAGCCCCGATGGCTAAAATGGCGATCGGGGCTTTCTTGCACAAAAGCGCATCTAGATTTTGCGGGAAAGCGTCCGTGCCAATCTGGACGCTCTTTTCCGCAAATGCTTTTAACGGAAAACTTTTCCATTAAAAGCATTTGCGGAAAATCATGCCAGTCTAGACGTAACCCGATTGTCTAGACGTAATCACTTCTTCCTTGCTGCTACTCAGCCTTAACCAACCATCTCCTCTTTGGCTTGAGGGGGCCTGAGGCTTGGCTCCATAAGTCAGAGGATGCATGTCCCACTGTAGGTGTTATCCATAGCAGGGCGGTGATTCTGAGGCTGAAAGCAGCCACCTTGCTTTTCAGACCCGTTGTTTTTCACTTGGGGAGGGGCTGCGAAGCCTGCGATCCCGTGCCCCCCGGCAGGTTGGACAGGAAAGGGTAACCTCACAGCCCCGTGTCTTCCTTTTTATACAGCAAAGCTGCCCCGGGATGACAAGATTCAGATCCTCAAGCAGCACAGACGCAAAGAGCTTGAAGAACGGCAAAAAATGTATCGGTGAGTTTCCGGCTTTGTGGAGGCAGCTGCCCAGGGAGGCGTGGTTCTGTTCCTAGCCAATGAGTGTCCCTGGCACACAACCACCATGGTGACCGGCGCCTGTTTGTAACCAGGGGCTGAATAAGCCAGGGTTAATGGGGTGGGAGGAGACTTAAGGAGCAGATGCTATTTGCATAGACACGCCCCCTCTGCCCAGGTGTCCAGTAGACAGCGCTTCTTTGCCAAAGGGATCATTTGTGGCTGGTTTGGGGGTAACAAAACGTTGATACCTTTATCGTATGAGTCCAGGGCCACAGAGCAGGGCTTAGCCTGCCCTGTCTCAGAAGTCACTCTAACCTAAACCTGACTTGCGGAGAGGGTAGCGGTGCCAAATCCCAATGTGCACCAGAGGGCTGGGGGCAGGTGTTGTTGGCCTCTCGTGAGGGATTCTGGTATTGTTTTACTTTCCAGGGGTGGGTTAAAGCCAGGGGTGAGTGGACTCTGCGATTCGGAGGAGGGAGATCACTGAGGTGCACCAGTAGGGGCCAAGCTGTAGATCTGGCATGGGGAGAGCATGGCAGTAAAAGACAAGGGAAAGGCAGCAGTACTGAGGTTCCACGCCAGGCAGGAAAGCCGCTAAGGGGTGGAACCGCAGCATGTGGCTGTGCAGAAGTGGAGCTGAGCAGCAGCAGGGACAGCAAGCGGCTTGCGGCAGCAGAGGTAGTGGCAGCAGCGGGGTGTGGCGGTGCTACGGAGAACAGCTGGAGCAGCGGAGTTATTGCTCAATGCTCCCCTCCTTCCAGGGGCAGGAGGTCCCCATGGGCAGGCACCTCTGAACTCTGGGGCATCGTAGGCCAAAGACAATCCGCGGAGAGTGCAGAGCAGTGGGCAGGAAGGAGCGTGGCTTGTTAAAGGGACATTCGTGCGCTGGACTTTCATGCCACAGTGTGGGAAACTGAGGCAAAGGCGCTGTCCAGCATACTGGGGAGGGGGTCTGCTTACGGTTACATGCGTTGAAAGGCGATCGTGGTGTTCTCCCAGATTAACCCAGTGTCCACTTCCCCTTTTAATTGTTTCCCTTTTAATGCACGGGCTCCGTGTTTGCAAGGGGAGAAGTGTCGCTCCTTACTGGCGCTGGGGTCGGGTGCTGGGTTCCCAGATTACTGGGTGGGGGCTCAAGCCAGACCCATTCTGCATTGTTAAGGGGAATCCCCAGCTGTTGAACCCGGTCCTAGTTGCTGCCCACTGCTCTGGGGAGAAGTTACACGCTGGCAGCTTCCGCGGGGCGGCTGGGCACTGGATGGAGACAGAACGTCCCTCTTGCTCCTGACGGAGTCTCTGCAGCTTGGAGTTAAAACCCGCTGGCCGGACAGGACTGTCAGGCTTGGCTTGATACTGCAAATGCTGTGCCGATTCCAGGAGCAGACAAAACCCTGCACTCGCCCCCTATTGACACGCGAGACATGGGAAGTCATTTTTCCCTTCTGCTCTGCACTGATTAGGTCTCAGCTGGAGTCCTGTGTCCAGCTCTGGGCATCGCATTTCAGGAAAGATGCAGAGAAATTGGAGTAAGTCCAGAGAAGAGCAGTGAAGATCTAGAAAACATGAGCTAGGAGGGAAGACTGAAGGAATTGGGTTTGTTTAGTTTAGAAAAGAGAAGACAGAGAGGACATGAGAGCAGCTTTCAAATACCTAAAAGGGAAGAGGAAGAGGGAGAAAATTTGTTCTTCTTGGCCTCTGTGGACAGGACAAGCAGCAATGGGCTTAAACTGCAGCAAGGGAGGTTTAGGTTGGACATTAGGAAAAACTTCCTACCTGTCACGGTGGTTACGCACTGGAATAAATTGCCCAGGGGGGTTGTGGAATCTCCATCACTGGATATTTCAGAACAAGTTGGTTAGACCCCTGTCAGGGATGCTCTAGACGGTGCTGGGCCCTGCCGTGGCTGCGGGAACTGGCCTTGTTGACCTCTCGAGGCCCCTTCCAGTTCTAGTGTTCTAGGAGTCTATGATTCTCTAGATTGGGGTGGGCAAGAAAACAGCGGCTGCCCAGGGTTAGCCCCGGTGAGCTGCTGCCATTGTATTTACCTGCACCTCCACTGATACGGGCAATTGCTGCTCCCATTGGCTGGGAATGGCGATCCGTGACCAATGGGAGCAGCAATCGCCCATCCCTGCAAAGGTGCAGGTAAATCTAGCAGCAGCGGCCTGCCGGGGTTAACCCTGAGCAACCTGCAGGCTGGTACCGAGATGGTACATTTCACCGAGGCTGAATTCACCCCCATGCAGAGGGGCAGCACTGGCTAGAAACCACGTCAGTCCCAGATAAACCCCACCTTGAAGGTTTAAGGGGGAATTCACAGTCTCGTGGGGGCGTCTTGCATGGAGCTGAATTTCACCTGGAAGGACGAAAGGCAGATTTTCTGTCCTCTTCACTGTCCGGTCCTCCGGGGGTCCCGGGGCGTAGCAGCTGTGAGTGTCTCTCTTCGTCTGGGCTCTCCTTCTCCCTGCTAGAGCGGATCAGCTGCCATCCCCTCTTCTGCTCAGTTATAGAGGAGAGTTTGCCTGGAAACCGAGCCTGTCTGAACAGAAAAAGGGTTGTCTGGATCCTCGGAATTACCACCCTGCAGCCACGGACTGCAGTGGAGCATTCACCTCCCCAGAGGAGGTCGGAAGAGAGAGGCTTGTCAAACCCGAGGGCTTGGCATTCTGGACACGCGGCCTTGATGTTGTTGAACAAGACAGGAACTGCCTGAAAAATGATGGGAAACAGAACACAAAGAGCCACTAACGGGACAGCCTGCAAGGAAGAGAGCTCGCTAAGTCCCACTTGACACACGCAAAAGGCAACGTCTTTTGGAATTGGAGGGAAAGGGCTGTTTACAGTTCAGAGGTAGAAACGGCAGCTCTATCGAGATGGAAGATTAACAACTCAGTCCACATCTGGCTGGCAATCTGACAGGCTTTCGCGCGTTCTTCCTCCTTTGCAAACAACCTTGCTTTGTTCTGAAAGACAAATTCCCCGCTCCGATGCCAACTGAATGGGTACCGTGTAAGGACATTCATAGAGTGGACTGTTCCCCTGGCATTGTCCCTTCTTTGAGGCTTATCTTCACTACACAGAAGATCATCGCTGCTGTGATCGATCTTCCGGTGTTTGATTTAGCGAGTCTAGTTAAGACTCGTTAAATCAAACTCAGAGGCTACGTCTAGACTGGCATGATTTTCCATAAATGCTTTTAACGGAAAAGTTTTCCCTTAAAAGCATTTGCGGAAAAGAGCGTCTAGATTGGCACGGACGCTTTTCCGCAAAAGCACTTTTTGGGCATTTCAGCGCCTCTTGGGGTCTGGCTGCCTGCATGCTGTGGGCCCGATTTTTCACATCTTTGCCCCCCTGGGTAATCGTTGAGCTCTGTGTGCAGTGGGCATGGGATGCGCTGAACAGAAGAGTGTGTTTAGACCACTTTGCACAGGTGTAAATGCCGTACCTGGCAATAGGAAATCTGACCCTGTGGGATCCCTCTTGTGACTCTCTCCTCACGGGGTGAGTGGGTCACAGAACAGCAGATGAAATTCAGTGGTGATGGATACAAAGCAATGCACCCTAGAAATGGATCGTTCCAACTCTGAACATGGTATCTAAAAGGGTGTCATAAGGAGGAGGGAGAAAACTTGTTCATCTTGGCCTCTGAGGATAGAACAAGAAGCAATGGGCTTAAACTGCAGCAAGGGAGATTTAGGTTGGACATTAGGAAAAAGTTCCTAACTATCAGGGTAGTCAAACACTAGGGCTGTGTCTAGAATGCATCCTTTTTCCGTAAAAGGGATGCAAATTAGACACATCGCAATTGCAAATGAGGTGGGGATTTAAATCCCCCCTGCTTCATTTGCATAAACACTCGAGGTCCCTTCCAGTCCTAGTATTCTATGATTCTATGAACATACGACTGGTTCTAAATTAGGTTGGGCTGCCCCAAAAAAGCGATTTTGGGGTTATCGTGGCTAGTTCTCAGCAAACCTCTGCTCAGCACACAGCAGCGGTCAACGAGGTACGTGAGGAACTCTTAGGAAAGGGATCAGAATAAGAGCAAAACCCTTTTAATGTCACTGTTAATCCCTAGTGCACCCCCACCTTGACTGGCGAGTCCAGTACTGGTCGTTCTTTCCAGGGCCACTTTCTGAGAAGGGGTTCTGAGAGAGCAGCAAAGATTGTTCCGGCTTTGGGGCAGTTCCTGTAGGAAGAACGTCTGAAAAGACTAGGGCCAGTCTGCTAAGAAAAGAGACAACTTGGGGGAACATAATAGCAGGCTCTAAAATCGCAACCGGTGTAAAAACGTGAGCAGGGACATGTGATTTGCTCTTTCCCACAGTGGAAAACCCAGGAGCCATCTGAGCACAATGAGCAGGTTTCATGCAAACAAGGATGTTCTCCCAGCAGACACCTGTGCAGCCTGATGCCATGAGACGTGTAGGTGGCTTCCAAAAAGACCTGGATCCGCCCATGGAGGATAAGTTGATCCAATGCTATTAGCTAGCCCCATGGCCCCTGTGTCCGTACATCCCTGAATACCAGAAGCTGAAAGAAGAGCGCTCCATGGATAATTAACTCCCTGATCGCCATGTTCTGGGCAATTCTTCTACAGTGCTGGCCAGGACAGAAATAGGATACTGGGAGAGATGGACCGTGGTTATCCTAATGGTAATCGAAATCATTCCTAATAATATTAAAGATACTGTGCTGTTGACGTGGCTTTTTCTGTCTTCCCTTCTCTGTCCCAGGTGGAAGGAATGGCACCCCGGCTTTCCGCTAAGCATCGATGCGAATTGTCACCATGACTTGCCTCGGGACATCCAGTTTGACAGTGAGAAGGGAGTCGATTTCATCCTGAACTACTCCAAAGCGTATGGGTCTCAATTCTGCATTCTGATAAGAAAAGGGAGCATGTGGGGGGAGAGGGGTGCGTGACATTTGGGGGGGGAGGCTAAAGATGTTTCCCTTTAAGTTTGAAAAGTAGACATTTCATTGGGATGTTGAACTGTGAAAGTTTGGAAGTGGCTTTATAGTGGATCAAAAACCTGGGAAAATACTGCAAACTCTCTCCCAAAACTTGTGGGGGTTTTGTTTGTTTGTTTGTTTGTTTGTTTGTTTGTTTGTTTGTTTCAAAATTAGAAACATTTGGAGCTAGAAAAGTTTCAGGTGTCACTAGATAGTGTTTTGGGGGGCACAGGAGAGGAAGAGAGATGTGGTGCCAAGCCAGGTACAGGAAGGCTGAGGAATGGTACACTACATGCAAGCCTACTTTCTTGGTGAGATCACCTTTGGTTAAGTATAATTTGTCTGATGCATGCAAGTTAATGAAATCTCCAACCACCCCACCACCACCTGTGTCACAACCAGTGTTCCCTGTAAGCTGGGCTTTGTACGGCCACTCAGGAGAGATTTCAGTACTACCTGCTGATTAGTAGAGTGCCCACAGCTAGGTTTTGTTTCTAGTTGTGGTGCACATTCACATCTGCATTGGTGCATATAACAAAATTTATTCTGCACATATGGAAAAATTCACACCTGGATGGTAAAGATTAGAGGAAACATTGGTCACAGCCATTCATCAGTGTTCAAGATCCCAGGGAACTCTTTACAAGGGTACAGGAGGAATGAGACAGGAGACCGGCTGACAGATGGTCCTACATACCAGGGATTGGACTAGACAAGCCAGTCTGATTCTACTGATTATTTACTTTTTAAAAATGCTGTTTTCAAAGCTCTGTTAGAGGAACCAGGCATCACTGATGTCAGCCAGTGTGTGACGTGATCCAAACTAAAGACCTTATTTCTCAGAGTCCAAGTGGGCACTTGCATTGTCACAAGCCATGATATCACTGGGTCATCTTTATGATGTCACCACCACGCCCCCCCCAGCTTCCAGTAATGCATGTTTGGCCTTTGCCAGCAGAGGGAAATGCCTTTGCATCATGCATTACATCATGCTGTTGTTACAGAGAGGGGAGGGAGGACAAGAGAATATCCGTCCTGGTCAGCCTCACCTACTTCCACCGCAGTGTTTCCCTTTTTTCTTCTCCCTGCTACTTTCCCTTCCCCTGGGCAGGGTGTTTCTTAGCAGACTGAAGCTTGGTTGTTTTAAAACATTTTTTTCTTTGAAATGCAAAAATAGCATTTGGTGAAGGAGCCGGACTCTAAGTAGCAACAAGCCGCTCCAGGGTTTGCACAGACAGGCTAGTGGGACTCTGTGCATAGCCTTCCCTCTTGCGCTTCTCAATATACTCCAGGCGTGAATGATTAGCTGACTCCTGCACCCCCTCTTAGGGCACATGGATACCGCATCGAATGGAGGGTGTTTGCAAATTCAATACCATCTGCTTAGGACTGAATAACAATATTACGCAGGCAATTTCCCCTGCCTTGATAGTCACATCTCCTCTCCAAATGCTGGGAATGAGCTACTTGCAGCCTAGCTCAATTAGCCTCATTAACACCATCCAGGGCGTCCCCGCTTTCTGTCGCCCCGGTATACGTCGGTTCTGCCCTAGGAACGGTTGGCGTTATAAGTCCTCCCGTTCCCCACGCTTACGTCATGCGCGCAAAACAAAAAAAAGAGACCAATTGGGGCAAACGGAAGTCAGGGGGAAAAATTCCCGGCTTTCTGTCGTTTCGCTCTCCAGCCATGTTTTTTAGAACGTATCTTGGACAGACAGTGGGGACGTATAGATATTTATATACCCCTGTTTCTGTAACTCCCATTCATCTGATGAAGTGGGTTTTACCCATGAAAGCTTGTGCCCTAATAACTCTGCTAGTCTCTGAGGTGCCACAGTACTCCTCGGGTTCACTCCAGGGCTGGCCTTACCATGAGGCGAACTGAGGCGGCCGCCTCAGATGCCAGACTGTGTGTGGGCACCACAAGACCCCGAGTGTAGAAAATTGTCTGCTGCTGGTGCCTATGTAGGTAACAGAGCAGAACCATGAGAGGAGTCGAAGGCAGAATTGAGACCTTTCAAAGTTTTGGCCCACGCGAGGGGACATGGGGGCGTCATTTGAGCTCCCCGCCTCAGGTGCCAGAATGTTGTGGGCCAGGCCTGGTTCACTCCATCCAGACACTGGCTACGCATACTCAGGGAGATGTTTAGGAGGCTCCCATGACGACGAGGGCTAGATCCAGCAATGATCCACGAGCACGTTCCTTATTCTGTTCTTATTCGGCACTGCGTCAGCTTCCGGAGCTGTTGCACGGGTTATTCACAAGGGTTTACAGCATGTATGCACAAGAGACACTAGTGCAAGAGGCCTGCTCCCCAGCTGCAGAGCCCTTTGCTGGCAGAACAAGAGCAGCCGAGGGTACCAGGTAGCCTGATAACCCTGCACATTACCAGATAGCGTGATAACTCTGCACAGACGTGTGCCGAGCATTGAGAAGGGCGGGGAGAGCTAGTGAGGCCAGTGGGTTCCACCCATGTCGTCGGAGACTGGCTCTTTGTGGCGGCTGTTCTCCAGAAGCGGCATCATGCACCAGGCACATGGGAAGAAAGGAAACGGTGAAGCAATTTTTTTTAACTGAAGAAATAAAATCTCCGTGCTGCGGGGCTGGAATGCCAGCCTCTGGACGGGGCTGCGACCCAGAACTGGAAAACCCAGGGCAGGGTTAGCACGCCAGTGCGGGGCAGTGCTGTAGAGAAAGGCAATGACGGGAGTTTGTAAGCACAGAGTACAATGGCTAGGGGAGAAATGTCAACGTGAGCCCCAGGACAATGTGTTATCTGCGGACTAGTCTCCCAGGGAACATGGAGTAGGCACCATTTCATAGACCGTTTGACACGGAGCTCAAAAAGAACCCGGGGTTACCCAATGAAATGAATAGAGAGCAGGTTTAAACCAAACCAGCGGAAGTTTTTCTTCGTGCAGTGCACAGTCAACCTGTGGAACTCCTTGCCACAGGATGTTGTGCAGGCCAGGACTTTAACAGGGTTCATAAAAAAGCTAGATAAATTCATGGAGGTTAGGTCCATCAATGTTTATTGGCCAGGATGGGTAGGAATGGTGCCTCTAGCCTCTTTCAGAGTGGGGCAATACCTACCAGGGGAGGGATCAATTGATTCCCGGTTCTGTTCCCTCCCTCTGGGGCACCTGGCATTGGCCACTGTGGGCAGACGGGACACTGGGCTGGATGGACCTTTGGTCTGACCCAGTCTGGCCGTTCTTCTGTTCTGTTGTCTCAGTCTTGGGAGGTGACTAAGAAAAGTCCTGCATGGGCCAGTTTTTGGAGCGCAGAGATGCTAATCTAAAAGGTGCAGATGTCTGGCAAACCCCACAGCTCGCCCTGACCCCGGGCCCTGGCTGTGCTGGGCCGGCAGCCTGGCTGCGAAGCCTCTGTTTTGCAAACCGTTCCCGGCTGTGCCTCCCTCCCGTGCAGTGCCTAGACAGCTGACTGAAGAGACATGTTTGTTCTGAGTTCCGGGGGAGGGGAAGTTGTTCAAGTAGAGGAAGCCTTGTGGTTTCCTTTCCAATGAACTGGCTTTCCAACAGCTGGGCACAGCTGCAGGCATGAGTCTCCCTGCAGCAGAGCGGAGAGGCCCGGGGAACCTCCCCTCCTTGCTAGACTAGCACCAGGAATTGCAGAGGAGACTGCTCTGCATTATACAAGGACTGCAAATT